ATTGGTTCTTTTAAAACATTAATATAAAATGATAGCCAAAAAAAGGGAACCTGAACCTTAGTAACATAGCTGGAACAATTTTTTAGTGGTGGTGATGGTGGGAGAAGAGATTTAATATAGTAGATTTTATGTTATTGTCCGCTTGTCACATGGTGATAGAAACTGCTTTTTATTTTTTTCCCAAAGGAACTGAGAAGCTTCTAGAGATTTGGCTACCCAGGCAGCGTTTGCTGATCCCCAGAAACCAAGGATCTGGGAATCTTTGCACCATCCCAAGATCAGAGCGTGACATAGCTTTGAAGGATGATCAATGTTCAATCCTCATGACAAAAAGCTACAAGCGAGAAGTTTACAGACTCAGTGAGAACAGTAGCAAGTTTGTTTGCAAGAGACTTTTCATTCTGAGGACATGTGGTGCATCTCTTGCTTAATTCACTGGTTCCCCCATAGAAACTTGCTAGGAATTACAGTGGGTTTGACTCAATTCAAAGCTACTTTTTTTTTTTTTTAATTCTGGGGAGAATGAAGCCTTCTCACAGAATTTCTGGGAAGAAATGGAATTTCCTAAGGCAATTTTCCTAAGTGGAGAAGCATGTTGTATGGGACATATGAATTCTGACTGATGGTACTTACATACTTTGGACTTCCCAGAGAGTCAGTCAGCCAGATCAAACCCTGGAAATTCTAATGAGGGAGCTTGACCCAGTAGTTATGGACCAGGTTTTTTTTCACTCCTGGTGATGCTTGGGGGATCCATAAAGAATACCAGGGATTGAACCAGAGTTAGCTGTGTGCAAGGCACACCCTACCCACTATACTATCGCTTCTGCCCAAAGTTATGGACGAGTTCTACATGAAAAATGGTGTTACTAGAAAGGATGAGAGCAAAATTTGTGATTATTTTTTGTGACCAAGTTTTATCATTGATGCCCCACTGTCCACTCCTTTGGGTATTCGGTGAATGAAATGAGGTCAGATGGAATTTATTTCACTATTCACATCACTCCAGAACCAGAATTTTCTTGTGTTAGCCTTGAAACAAACTTAAGTCACAGCTCCTATGACTATCTGATCAGGAAAGTGGTGGAAGTCCTCCAGCCAGGAACACTTGTGACTACCCTGATTTTAAATCAGAGTTCTAAATGTTGCACAGTATTTTCTTTGCCCCAGAAGATGGAAGTTTTAATTGCCTTCCTCACCAAAGTGCTATGCATAATGATTACAATTTTATTTTCACCAGTTTCACTAAAAAGCAGCAACCACCCCAAAGGGGACAAAAGTAAATGAAGAAAACAAGGCAAAAACAGAGCACACATAGAAGGTGGTATCTGTTGTTTAGCTATTAATACCAGAACCCATGACTTCTGTAACAAACCGCCTTGTAGTTGCAGGAAGTTCCATAGGAAAATAAAGCATAATCAGCTTACGCATTATTAGATCAGGATATCTCGCATGAATGCTCTCCTCTGTGTTCAGTTATCCTACACCACTCTTGTTGTGCCACGGAAGTGGATGTTGGAAAACCGTTTGACTATATAAGACAACACCTGTGAGACAGTTCCATTTGGTTTACACACAGTGCATCATTTCTCCAGATATTATCTCAAATTACTCCACAGAAAAGGCTTTTGTTATCATTAGGTGCTAGGTGCTGTCTAACCATCTGGGACTGTTCTATTAAATTGCTGCCAGGCTTCTTCCATCCGATTACCTCCACTTCTTAGAACATAATCTCTACAGATATTATTGAAACCAATTTCTACCTCCTATAGATGATTTTTCAATAGCAATAAGTTTTTTCCCCCATGAGTTGAGCCCTTAAAAAGAAAAAGAATCATATAGGGGTTTACATCCTCCAGTCAAGGGATGGGCTTGGGGAAGAGACATTCTTCCTGCCATTTGAGCTAAAATCCCCCAGGCAAAGCTCTGGGCTCCACAGTCCTGGTCAGAATAACAACCAACACAGCTTTTCAAGAGTCTTCATGAACTAGTCTGCTAATAAATTTCATTTGAATGATTCAGGGGGAAAAGCTTTAAATCAAGTTTATAAGGATACTCTTATTTTATTACTTTTGTAGAATTAGAATCTGGTTTCCACAAAATAGCGTGTCACTGCAACTATTGTCTTTTTTCTTTTTCTTCTTCCTTCCTTCCTTCCTTCCTTCCTTCCTTCCTTCCTTCCTTCCTTCCTTTCTTCCTTCCTCTCTTTCTCTCTGTGTCTGTCTCTGTCTCTCTCTCTTTCTGTCTTTCTTGGCCAAACCCAGCTTTGCTCAGGGTTTATTCCTAGCTTTGCACTCAGAAATTATTCCTCGTGGGCTTTGGGGACCATATGGGATGCCAGGGATTGAACTTTGGTCGATTGCGTGCAAGGCAAACACCCTACCCCACTGTACTGGGGACACTGGTGGTGGTAAATGTACACTGGTGGAGGGATGGGTGTTGGAACATTGAATAACTGAAATCCAATCATGAACAACTTTGTAATGGTCTATCTCAGGGTGATTCAATATTTTTTTTTAAAAAAAACAGAAAACAATAAAACTAGAGAGTTTTCTATTTCCAGTACCCCATTATCTGTTGAAAGGTCCTGGAAATCAGCTAAGGACAGATCAGTTAACTTCTATTAATAAAGAAATGAATATTCAGTCATGTCATAGTTACCCAGGTTTGGTGAAGGTCAACATCTGGTCAGCGTGGTGAGCTGGAGAGGGTCTTGGGCTTCTTAATTTCTTATAGGAGTGGACTGGTATGCAGTAATATGTCCCATTCCTCTTCAAAAATCGTAATTTTCAGGACAGTCCTTGCTTTCAAAGCAGAGAAGTTCTGGGCTTTTCATTGCACTGGCCTGTCTTTAGGGTAAGGACTAGTAAGAGTGACTGTTACCATTTCAGACTGCTCACAATGTTTAAACCTACTCCACTTGCTATGTAGCGCTGTAGCACTGTCATCCCATTGTTCATCGACTTGCTAGAGTGGGCACCAGTAATAGCTCCATTCGTCCCAGCCCTGAGATTTTAACAGCCTCTCTTCTCGTCCTTCCCAACTGTGTCATATTGGAGGCTCTTTCAGGGTCAGGGGAATGAGATCCGTTATTGTTACTGTTTTTGGCATATCGAATATGCCACGGGTAACTTGTCAGGCTCTCCATGTGGGCGGATACTCTTGGTAGCTTGCCAGGCTTTCTGAAAGGGAAGGAGACTTTTGGGGTGACCTCTAATCGCTTTTACAGGTGCTCCAGGAAATACTGCATCACTCTCTTCTGGGGGCTTTGTTTTATATTCTCTGGATCTTGACCATTGATGAAATTACATGGCACTGGGGGCAGTTTGTGGGTGTGACTGCTAAGCTACTGGAAGATGGGGGATCTGGGTGGAGGAGACCCAGCCCCAATCTGAGCAGGCTTGGAGATCTCAGCCACGGGTCCTGCATACCTGGGTTCTTCTGCTGGTTCCTTCATGTGTGAGGCTCGTCCGAGCATGTGGAGAGTGACCTTGACTATGGCTGTGACTGGGTTCTGGAGGTTTCGGCTGCTGAGACTCTGCTTGGGGCGGGGAGGGAAACTCAACCCGACCCCCTCTGAGGGGGTCCCAGTGAAGACAGCCTGGTGCGGGGGCAAGAGATTCTGCAGGTACCACTTGCTATATACTGTTTTAATTTCTTTGTAATAAACTGCTGTAATATTATATAGTTTAAGAAAATATCATCCACATATGGTTGGACCCAGAAAGGGTTAAAAGTTTGTAAGCACCACACCCTAAAAATTTAAGAGCAAGCATTGTGCTGATTGAAAATCCCTCCCAGCCCCTGTGTTGAATCCCTCACAGCCCCTGGGATTTACAAACATCTGTGCTGAGGGCAAAGAGCATGCCCTGCCCCTGAGCTATGTAAGGAGGCAATTTGCTCCCTGACAGGTATGGCTGTGACTGAGGTTAAGCCTTATTGATTCATGTCTGTAAACGCATATCTTGTTTTTAAACATAAGTGAAAATTGTAGTTAATCTTTCAAGATCTTAATGGACACTTTGGAATGTAGTTTCAGAGTACAAAAGCAATCTCAGTCTTTAAATCGTTTTCCCAATGGCTTGGAGTCCTGTGACCCTGAGATAAACCTTCTGTACCCTCCCCTTCTGGGTCCTGGGTAACTCATTGAGTCATGACAAACTGGGCATAACAAGTTAACTACAAGAAGCTTCTTGAGGTCAGGCAGGCCACCAGTGAGAACCCAACTCTGCTTCATTCTCGCTTGGTGGAAACTATGGGTGTCCCAATTTAGACCCTGATGGAGAGGAAGGCCAATCTATTCCCCAATCTATCTCACAGATCAGGCCTCACTGGACAGTAGATAAAAGCTACAGAAACTAGACCAGCAACCAACCGTTTCTGGATTTGTATGCCAACGGCAAAGAAATGGCTTAGGGAGGAAATAACAAAACAGAAAACACAGAAATGGAATGGGATTCCAGGCTCAACTTTCGGCAGCCTTGTCTAGCTCCCTAGTGATTTCAGCTGACCCCTGGTACCCTTCAGAGACCATCCAGAGGTGCAACATCACAGCTTGTACCCAACACACAAAGGGCCTCAACCTTAACATGCTTCCAATGCCACCAGTTTGGACACCTTCAGCTTCCCAAGGTGTAGACAGACTGAGCACTGGCAAAGAGATTGCCCCTGTGTTAGCAGTAGTGTGGGAACATTTCCTGTTTCCTGTCTAACATGTCACGGGCATCCAAGTCACACACAGAAACTACATTCCTCCTCAGTAGGCTCTAGGTTGGGACTTTTCATGTGCCACTCTGGGGTGTGGTGGTGGGGCACTCAGGGGCTACACAGGCTCCTGTGTTTCAACATCTCTGCAGTGGAGCCTTGGGTCATGCTAGAAGTTTCTGAACCCAAAGGTTTTGGTGCTTTGGTCGATATTGGGGGCCATAGTTTTTCTGATCTTACTAAATTCTCAAAAAATAATTTTCTCACACAAAATTTATAGAGTATTACGGACACTCTCAGGAGTCGATCAGCGTGAGGGCCACCTCGAGCATGGGCGCGAGGGCCAGCGTGCCGTGGAAGAGCGGGATGCAGTCCACGAAGAGCGTGTGCGGCGCGGCCGGCTGCTCCCGCCGCGGCTTCTGCCGCTCGGCCACCAGCAGCCCGTTGACGGCGCAGTGCGGGTACTTGGCGCCGTGCAGCACCATCTTGCAGTAGGCCTGCATGGTCAGCTTCACGGTGGGCATGCTGGGCGCGCGGCCCCACGGCCCGGGGTCGCCGCACCGCCGCACCTGGCCGCCGCCTCCTCACGCCGCCGGAAGGCCGTGAATATAATCTCAGGGCTAGGATGAAAGAGACGTTACTGGGGCCTGCTCGAGGCAATCGACGATTAACAGGATGATGAAATGAAATGAAAAATGAAACGGACACTCTCAGAGAGGACAACTCACTCTCCACTTCCTTGAACAGCAAATATCCAAAATATTTCTTCATTCTTTCTTGATCTTGCTTCTTTGCCCAAGCCCCTTTTCAGGGAGAGAGTTTCTGAAAAAACTATGATCTAAACTGCAATTAAAGACCAGAGAGGGCACTTGTTTTGCACATGGCTGATCTGGGTTCGATCCTTGGCATGCCATGTGTTCCCCTAAGCACCATCAGGGGTGATCCCTAAGTGCAGAGTCTGGACTAATCCCTGAGCACTGCTGGGTGTGACCCAAAAAATAAAATAAGCTCAGTTAACTCATAGCCAAGCTTCTAATCTCCTCTCCATACTCCCTGCCATTGGCAAGTTTGTCTATAAAACCCTAATTTGCTCCTTAATCTGACAGTTTTTATGGAATTCTAGACTTCAGTATCCCACCAAACCCCTCTTTGCCTTTGCCATCCCTGTTCATACACAACTAGAGTTTCCCACAAGTTCCTAGTAGCACAATACTTCTTAAAACTGGAAGCAAAGTAAGGAATAAAGCCCTTAGTTCAACATTTCCTAACCTCCAGACTACTTCCACCCTGTAATTCTCATTGAAATACACTGGTTTTTACAGACGTTTAAATTTGCTTCTACCACCCTAGATCCAAAGTGATAGGGACAAAAGAACACTCAGTGGGAGATTAGTATTTTGACCCTCAGAGAGTCAACGATATGGAATGTCACTTGGGTGGCCTAAATGGTCCCTGATAACTCAGATGACCTAGACTCTGCCGGACACCAGGGGAGAATTAACTCAGCATCTTCTCCCTCATTTTTTTAAAAATTTTATTTTCATAAGGTTGTTTATGCGCTGGAGCAATAGCACAGCAGGTAGGGTGTTTGCCTGGCATGCGACCGACCTGGGTTTGATTCCTCCGCCCCTCTCAGAGAGTCTGGCAAGCTACAGAGAGTATCTTTCCTGAACTGCAAAACCTGGCAAGCTACCCGTGACATATTCAATATGCCAAAAACAGTAATAATGAGTCTCACATTTGTTGTGAGACGTTTCTGGTGCCTACTTGAGCAAATCGATGAACAACGGGAGGACAGTGCTACAGTGCTAAGGTTGATAGCACATTGATTACTTTCAATATTTCAACACCAATCCCACCACCATTACACCTTCCTACCACCATTATTTTGAATTTTCCCACCACCATTCAAGCCTGCCTAGCACAGGCAGATGCTAGATAATTTATTTGATATTGGTGCTAAATCAGGACATTAGGACAAGCCTATGGACGCTGCCCTGCAAGCAGGAAGCAGAACCAAGTCCCCACTCTCACATTAGCTGGACTAATCCCTGAGCATAGCTGGTTATGACCTAGCTAATGTGTGCAAACTAAAAACTTGTGAGTCTGATGATCTGGAGAAGTACAGCATGCTCTCATATGCGCGCCTAGTTTTACATTATGTTGGAAGTACAAGGCAGCAGTTTCCTCCTCTCTTACACATCCTTAATCTGTATTGACCTTCAAGTATCAGTATGAGCCTTCTCTTAGCCTGATGTGTAACCAACCACAAGAATGTGGGAGACGTAATCTGTAAAGTTTACGTGTCCAGTTCCTTATCTTCCTCTGACATTTTTAATCACAACTACATAGCTTTGTGAAATCCGACACGTCATTTCGTCGGTAGAGAAACAAACAGCACCCGGCCCAGACAAGGTCAGACCTGAACACCTGAAGAACCTGCCGTCAGTACTCATCAATACACTGGCTCGGCTCTTCACTCGCTACCTGTCTGAATGCAAGGTTCCGTCCCAATGGAAAACCAGCAGGACTGTACTACTGTTCAAGAAGGGAGACATTCATGACATTGGCAACTATCGCCTGATCTGCCTATTGTCTGTCATCTACAAGTTGTTCACTCGAGTCATCCTAAATAGGATTGGCAGAACACTAGATGAAGGACAACCATGCGAGCAAGCCGGGTTCCGCAAAGGATTCGGCACCATTGACCATATCCACACGATAACCAAGCTCATTGAGGTTTCTCGGGAGTTCAAGATGCCGCTCTGTTTAACGTTCATTGATTTAAAGAAGGCCTTTGATTCTGTTGAGACGGAAGCGGTCATTGAAGCCCTAGCCAATCAGGGCATTCAAGCCCAATACATCAGGATCCTCCGTGAGCTGTATTGCGGATTCACTACCAGGATCTCACCATTCTACAAAGAAGTGATCGTTGATGTCAAGAAAAGGGTGCGGCAGGATGATACCATTTCACCGAAACTCTTCAGTGCCACCCTCGAGAACATCATGCGATGACTGGAATGGGAAGGAATGGGAGTGAAGATAGATGGTCGGCAACTACACCACCTCTGCTTTGCTGACGACATTGTTTTAATAACATCAAACATCAGCCAAGCGGCACAAATGCTGGCCGACTTTGACTGTGAGTGTGGAAAGGTAGGACTACAGCTGAATCTTACGAAGACAATGTTTATGAGAAACAGCCTCGTTCCTGATGCCCCATTCACTCTCAATGGAACAACCATCTCCTAATGCAACAGCTATGTGTACCTAGGTCGAGAGGTCAACATGACAAATGACCTGGCACCCGAGCTGCGCAGGAGGAAGAGAGCGGCTTGGAACGCCTTCAAGAACGTCGAAGAAATAGCTAAGAGGACGAAGAACCTGCGGCTCCGGGCACATCTCTTTGATTCCACTGTTCTTCCTGCATTAACATATGCCTCAGAGACCTGGGCCCTATGCAAACAAGATGAGAACGCTATTCAGGTCTCCCAAAGAAGAATAGAAAGAGCTATGCTTGGAATATCACGTTTCACTCAAATGAGAGAAAGAATCCGGAGTTCTGACATCCGTCGACGATCAAGAATCAGGGACGCTGTCTCATTTGCCAAGGTGTCGAAAATCAGATGGGCTGGTCACGTAATGAGATTTAAAGACGACCGCTGGACTAGAGCTGTTACCGACTGGATTCCATGGGATGTCAAAAGACCGCGTGGCCGCCCACCTACCAGATGGTCAGACTTCTTCATCAAGATCATGAACGATCGGTTTGAGGCCCTTCGTGTTCCCGGAGCGAACAGATGCCATTGGGCTACACTAGCACGCGACAGGGACAAATGGAGATGTTACTGGCGCCCGCTCGAGCAAATCGACGACTAACGGGAAGTTAAGTGATTAAGTGATTAAGTGACATAGCTTTGTCAGCATAGCTTTGACAAGACAATGTATACCTCGATGTTTCTTTGATGAATGCTCATCCTATAACTGTTTGTACTTTCGTTAGTCTTTCTCTGTGATGAAGTCATTAGGATGTAACTCATAAAAATAGAATAAAAGGTGGCCTCAGGCAGTCGCTCTTCGCCTCGAGCCAGAACAAGCCTTGGCCCTCTGTGGTCATTACCTTCCTCTCCAGTGTTTTATCTCTGTGCCTCTGACCAAAAGAATATTCATGCAACAATTTTCTATTGCTTATTTTGAACAGCATGAGAAGTTGTGTGGCCGCAAAAGCAGCAGCGAGCTTCTGGAATTCTAAAATTGTAAATAATTGGGTTCCAGAGACATCTCTGTAGGGAGCTAATCCATTTTGAGATTCATTTGTGAGTCTCTGGATCAAAGTCATTTGCCAAGAGGGCTCCTGGAGTCAAATTGTGGGTGTGACAGCCAGGACCCCAAAGGTTGGGAAGATGGGAAGGGACAGCCTGTCTCTGCTGCTGCCAGGTGATCTGGAGTCTTAATCCTGGAACCTGTGTACCTTGGTTTTGCTTCAGGAAGCTCTGGAGTGGGCAGAGAAGGCACACCCGCTTCATCTGAGGTGCCCTTGTACAAGTGGCTCCGTTCAGGGTCTGAAGAGATCTTCAGCAAGCTACTGTTTTCTGGGATTCACTACTGTATCTCTGGATCAAGGTCATTGATGTGCTGAGGTGGCGTCTGTCATGTGGACATGACAGCCAGGATCTCCCCCATTTCAATGGCCTCCATTCTTGGAACATTTTAAAGAAATGTTCACCTACTTACCTTCATCAAAGAGGTATAATAGGGAAAGGTGTCTGCCTTTCTCTGGAATCATTCTTTAGGAGACCACTCTCATAGTTTGGGAGCTTCTCTGCCTTCCTTTCCCTTTCCTTCCATAAAGTCTTCTGAATTCAGTCATTTGCTTGGCAGTCCCTTGCTTTCAATCTTGACTGCTTGAAGAGCCTGAGCACTACCCCCTTTACAACCAAATAGGAAAACAAAAATGACTTTCAGCTCACACCACAGGACAACAGTTCAGACATTTCTCTGGTCCTCTGTGCAATTCCACAAAGAAAAGTCCCATGTGCCTTAATATGTTCTGATTTATTCCTGACTGATCCTTGAGTCGTGTATGGAAGATTGGTATCTGATATAGCTAATTTCTCTAGCAGCCTTAAGAAGGTAGATTTGGGGACTGGAGTGATAGTACACTGGGGAGTGCGTTTGTCTTGCACGCAGCTGACCTGGGTTCAATCCCCAGTATTCCATATGGTCCCCTGAGCAGCATCAGGAGTAATTCCCGAGTGCAGAGCCAGGAGTAATCCCTGAGCATCACTGAGTGTGACCCCAAAAGAAAAAAAGGTCTGTTTGGATCTCTGATGTAGGTTCCAGCTTCCTGCTGGATGCTCACTACTCTGGCTGGTGTGATTCCTCCAAGTCCATGCTGGTCTCTTGTGGGTCTGTTGCTGATGCTCTATAGTTTGCCACTGCTGCTCCAAGGTCCACTTCTCTCAGTCCCACAGGACTTTGTTCCTGTGGCTTTCCTGGGTTCTCTGGCCGTGTGAGAGTGGCGGAGGACTACTGATTTCTTGTCATCTTCCGAGGCCCATGTGAAGGTCTTAGAGAAGGTTCTC